AGCTCTGAGCTGCTCCTGAGCAGCTGAGTGTCAGATGTGACAGTGAGTGTGAATCCTGATGGTGCAGTGATGTGTGGTGCTGAGCTCTGACATGGAGAAGAGTCCTGGACAGTCAGAGATCCTCATCTCACCTGGGAGCTGTGCTCTGGCTCTCATGGTCCCCACACAGAGGGCTTTCAGAGGGACAGCCTCCCTCCTCTCTGTCCTCACACCGACTCATGGCAGAGCTGCACTCGGTCAGTACAACAGCAGCACTGACAATGTTCCTGGGAAGATGCTCGGCTGCTGAGTTCACATCCAGTCCCAGAGACTGTGGAGCTTCAGCTGTAGAGGAAACACAGAGAGAAGATGCTGCTGATTCTCCTCCATCAGTCCGTCTGATGTCAGCAGCTTAGCTTCACACACTTACAGTCACCAGACACAACATGCTGAGTGAAGAGGCCACATTAGGCTGTGGGACACTGGGACGGCCATTTCTCCCTTTATTCTGGCTCTGACCAGACCCGACTGGTCTCTGATGAGCCCAGACCATCATCAGCAGACTGCTCACTAATGACACAAACCCCTGCAGCTCCATATCAAACAGGTCAACAGGAGCTTCACTTCAACAGCTCCAACAGTAAAATGCTGCCGACACATGAAGGCATCAGGGACACTGAGCTCATCATGTCTGTTATAGTCCAACGCTCACAGGGGGGTTTTACTGCACCGTGGACTCGGACTCTTGGTACTGGCACTACATGGAGCTGATAGGACGCTGGACTCTGACCTGAGGACAGCTTTCAGTGTAGACCTGGGACTTGTACCAAAGTACTAGTACACTGTGTTCCTGGTACTTTTACTACAGTAGAGAATGTCCTGTTGGAGTCATGCTGTGGTTCTTTGTTCTGTTACAGTTTTTTACACAATAACACTGTCCACAGCCTCAGAGTGTCTGTCAGTAGGGTCGCCTCCTTCACTGGGAACAAATAAGGCTAGAACAACACGTGACATAGAAACAGCTGCACGTGAACTCTATTTCTGTCACGTAGCTCTGCTCCTTCCTGCTACTAGCAGCTGGACACGGTGGCTAACTGTTAGCACAGGGCCGAGCTCTTCTCCAGACAAACAGCAGCTTTTCACACACAAACACCTGCAGGTTCAACTTGTTACAGTACCATGAAACTAAGAGTGAGACAACAGAGCAGCTGGGAGTCATTCACACACCAAAAACCAGCACTTATCAAAGCTTCACATGGAGAAAAGACCTGCTGCCAACACGGAGAGAGTGAAAGTAAAAACAACACACATGGAACAGGAAATAACCAGAGACAGAGAGAGAGAGAGAGAGAGACAGAGAGAGAGAGCTGGAATGTGGACAAACTTTACTGCAAACTTTACTTCATCATGTTACACAACAACAGGACACAAATAGCAGCACCGTGATCATTCTAACGTCAGTGGAACATGATCACCAGTCTTGGGGAAACTACTTTGAAAATGTAGTTTTGCAAACTATCAGTTACTTCACACTGGAAGAAGTTAAACTACAGCAAAGTTCCTCTAGAGGGAAATGGAGTTTGGTAAACTAATGTTATTTAGACAAAGTACTTACTTTGTAAAAATATGATCAAACTGACCGTGTATAAAACTATAACATAAAAACTGTCACATGCCAGCAAACAGATCCCACTCAGCTGAGTTTATTTACATGAGACAGTATTTATTGTAAACAGATTTGGATTTTGTACTGTGTGTATATGAGTCTGTTGTGTAACCTTTCAGTTTTTCAGCATCTGATTTGTTCGACCTTCCAAAATATGGCAGATTTCAGCATCCATTTCCTCTTCATCGTTCTCAGGTACACAATCCATTGAAATATTTTGCACATGGCGTCCATTCCTTCCAAAAAAAAGCTTAAATATTGATTCAATGCACGTTTTCCACTGTGTGATGGTCCATCCCAGATGCATCTGAGCCGAAAGGGCTTCCTTTTGGCACAGTAGTTTTAAGCAGCATTTATGGATGTAACTACATATTGTAGTGCCTGACACAGGTGAGCCAAAGTCATCCTGAGCCCATGTGGTTATATCACTTATAGAAGAGAGACGATTCTTGATGCAGTGCCGGAGGGATGGAGAGCTCAATCATCCAGTTTAGGTTTGAACCACTGCTTCGAAACTTGCTTTGGTGCGGAAATAGACACGTGTCTGATGACGAAACTGCTTCGGTCCTCTGAGTGAATGAAGTGGCTAGTTCACACAGTCAATATGCGAGACCTTGCTAGGCGCATAAAAGCACTATATACATGACAGATCCTCCCTTGTGTGACGATCCTCTGACCTACTGGAAAGAGCGCAAAAATGTTTACCCACAATTTTTTTTCCTAGCAAAGCAATACCTACAGTGCCTTGCGAAAGTATTCGGCCCCCTTGAACTTTGCGACCTTTTGCCACATTTCAGGCTTCAAACATAAAGATATAAAACTGTAATTTTTTGCGAAGAATCAACAACAAGTGGGACACAATCATGAAGTGGAACGAAATTTATTGGATATGTCAAACTTTTTTAACAAATAAAAAACTGAAAAATTGGGCGTGCAAAATTATTCAACCCCCTTAAGTTAATACGTTGTAGCGCCACCTTTTGCTGCGATTACAGCTGTAAATCGCTTGGGGTATGTCTCTATCAGTTTTGCACATCGAGAGACTGAAATTTTTGCCCATGCCTCCTTGCAAAACAGCTCGAGCTCAGTGAGGTTGGATGGAGAGCAAATGGAAGGAGTATCAGACCACTGCAAATCTACCAAGACCTGGCCGTCCCTCTAAACTTTCAGCTCATACAAGGAGAAGACTGATCAGAGATGCAGCCAAGAGGCCCATGATCACTCTGGATGAACTGCAGAGATCTACAGCTGAGGTGGGAGACTCTGTCCATAGGACAACAATCAGTCGTATACTGCACAAATCTGGCCTTTATGGAAGAGTGGCAAGAAGAAAGCCATTTCTTAAAGATATCCATAAAAAGTGTCGTTTAAAGTTTGCCACAAGCCACCTGGGAGACGCACCAAACATGTGGAAGAAGGTGCTCTGGTCAGATGAAACCAAAATCGAACTTTTTGGCAACAATGCAAAACGTTATGTTTGGCGTAAAAGCAACACAGCTCATCACCCTGAACACACCATCCCCATTGTCAAACATGGTGGTGGCAGCATCCTGGTTTGGGCCTGCTTTTCTTCAGCAGGGACAGGGAAGATGGTTAAAATTGATGGGAAGATGGATGGAGCCAAATACAGGACCATTCTGGAAGGAAACCTGATGGAGTCTGCAAAAGACCTGAGACTGGGATGGAGATTTGTCTTCCAACAAGACAATGATCCAAAACATAAAGCAAAATCTACAATGGAATGGTTCACAAATAAACATATCCAGGTGTTAGAATGGCCAAGTCAAAGTCCAGACCTGAATCCACTCGAGAATCTGTGGAAAGAACTGAAAACTGCTGTTCACAAATGCTCTCCATCCAACCTCACTGAGCTCGAGCTGTTTTGCAAGGAGGCATGGGCAAAAATTTCAGTCTCTCGATGTGCAAAACTGATAGAGACATACCCCAAGTGACTTACAGCTGTAATCGCAGCAAAAGGTGGCGCTACCAAGTATTAACTTAAGGGGGCTGAATAATTTTGCATGCCCAATTTTTCAGTTTTTTATTTGTTAAAAAAGTTTGAAATATCCAATAAATTTCGTTCCACTTCATGATTGTGTCCCACTTGTTGTTGATTCTTCACAAAAAATTACAGTTTTATATCTTTATGTTTGAAGCCTGAAATGTGGCAAAAGGTCGCAAAGTTCAAGGGGGCCGAATACTTTCGCAAGGCACTGTATATGCACCAGCCTCATCAGTGCCATGTGAATGTGTGTTTTCGAAAGCTGGAGAAGTTGTCAGCAAGAAAAGACACCGGCTCAGTCCAAAAACAGTGGAAAAATGATTGTTTCTCAATAGAAATCTTTGAATCTCCATCCCATGTACATAATTACACCCTACCATCTTACTACACTACATACGTTTATAGAATCAATTGGCTGATCAATCAATCTTTACAAACATGTACAGTATTTACATCATTCACACAAGGCCTAATTACACTCATCACATAATTCGGACATTGTTTTGCTGTCTATTTCGCCAAGAGAAGTCACTGAAACGAACCTTTGACTGAATGAACCTGTGTTCGGCACAATTGATGAAGTGGTTCAATACTGGTTCATTGCTTCATTTGGACATCACTAGAACAGGGCCATCCCCTCTCAACTTTGTGTCGTAAGACTGGCCGCTTAGGTCTTTGTCATCTGTGTGTAAAGAGGGACTCTTGGTCTTTGATCAAGACACAGTTTACATGGATCGCTGCAGGTTGCGCAATTTATTCAAGGAGTCGTTTCTTTTCACATTCCACAACCATTTCATAGGATTTTTTTCCTAATGCTAAATTGTCGTGCCATGCCATCTGAAAAAAATAAGCCTCGATCATGTCATCGAGGTTACAACAAAAACCCTGTTACAAAACTGGAGTAGTGTGTTTACTGGGCAGGGGAAATGGTGCTATTAAGCTTTATTATGTGTGGGACAGTGCTCTAAGAGTTCGACTCAAACTAGGACCTAAATGCCAGGTTATCACAGCACCCATTGCTTCAATTTAGAATTTTGTACCAGAACTTTATAAAACTCTTAACCCTAAAGTGGGAGTGTCCTTTGAATGAATGCTTATTGGAGTAAAATAGGTTGGTTTGATAGAAGTAGCCATTTATTGTTAATATGTTTTGGATTAGAAAATGAGTAACAAGTATTCTCAGTTCGGCTAAAACTGATAATTAAATCTGAACATTGCTGCAACATCTCAGAAAACCAAAATGACAAAATTTGACTGTGTATTCCAAATGAACAAGTTTTGCAAACTTTTTGGGACTCGTTTCCCAACGTCATACACCTGTAACCTCCAATTAATTCCCCACACTATGCAGCCTTTCCTCTACACTTCAGTTTATGATTCATATTAAGTTATACACAGTTACATAGACATGCCAACTGAAGATAATTTTACACATCACATTTGTGGATGTACATAAATTTCACTCATCCTGCTGATATAAAATAGTGAAAAATGTTTCCCCAGAAAAGACAAAATGTTTAATATTCTCTTTAGAATGGGATTCTTGTCAGTGTGCAGAAGCTTTTGAAACTGCATTAAGACAGTCATGGAGCTGCAACAGTTTTCTAAGAATCTCAGGAAAACAATACAGCATCTGTTCACACTTAAAAAAAAAAAATTAAATAAATCACAGTACTGACAAACTGACAAACATAAGCTGTAGTACTGATCAGCTGTTCAGCAAATGTAGAACTAAAATGCATCATATCAGAGTTGGACAACACAAAGTGAAGTATTCTGAGAACCAAGTCCAGCACAGATCATGTGGATGAGTTGGCTCCCATCACCAGGGACCTCTGCACCAGTGAGGAAACAGTCATGCTACACCTTCTTGGGTACATTAGTGATAATGGGTTTAGGCCGCGTCTTAAAGATCAGCTTCCGTTTGATGAGGGCAGACACAGAGTAAGAGGAGGAGGTGGACCCTCTCTGGTCCGTTTCAATAGGCACCTGTGTGGCATCATCACCGTTACTGTTACTGTCGTGGCCACCCACGGTATCCTGTGATTGGCCAGAATGCTTGGTGAGGACAGCAAAGGGTTTTTCCAGTTTGACCTGTTTCCCATACAGAATATGATGTCCTACAATCAGCACCGGCACCCCCTGGTGGAGGGAAGAAGAAATGAAAAGTAAAATGAAAGTTAACTAATTGCATCCATGTTTATCCTTGCTTCTTAACCCCACCTATGGTGGATGCAAGGAAAAAACTCAAGGAGAAAATACAAGGAGAGAGAGAAATAGAGGAAAGACATCCGGATACATGAGACATCCTTTATTTCGATCATTCATCTGAAACTTCCAGTCATCAATTGATTTCCAATAAATGTTCATGTTTGTGCTGATGGACCCTTTTAGATTTATGATCACCTGGTGTTGAACAGTGTACAAGTTCTGCTCTATCCAGTGAGAGAACAGGGCCCTTAGTGGCTAGTTCTGGGGTCAATGCACTACAGATCGTTAATCATACGTTTTCACCTATAAATACTGATAATTGGTCAGATTGTGTTACAGATTTATTTCTTCTTTTTGCTAAAGTGTGTCCATCACTGGAGCACAGCTGGGAGCAAGAGTAAGTGAAACAGTGAACTAAACTGAAACCTGAACTGTGTTTTGGAGACTTATATGAAACTGTAGGGCTGTACCCGACTAAGAATGCTACAGTCAGCTGTTCAGTGTGACCATTCAGAAAACTGGCATAAATATCAGTGATGATTTTGACCACATTAACATCATTTAAAAATGAAAAAGAGTGACAGGAACATATTACTGAACATTTAAAAATCAATTAGACAGGTACATATGATATAAAATTGAAATGGCCACCTATTGACACTGATGATCTATGTCATGTTGCCATGTGGATTGTGTCAGAATAATGAGACAGGCAGCACACTTGTATTTTTGTTGAAACATTGCAGTTATAGGCATTTTTTTCTTCTGAGACATGGTTATAGCCTAGTTTACCAACAAGTCTAAGCTTCCCCCCCAGTTAACCACAGTGTATGTTGTTACTGTACGTTCGATGTGTGCCAGCTTGCACTGCTAACGAGTCCGATTTATAATTCCTCATTGAAATGTTGTCCCCACACATTTTTATCTTTGTAGTCCTGTTCAGATGGATGCATGCCATAGAAATAATTGGTAAATGGCTGTGCACTGTGCTTTAACGGGGATGGGTAAACAAAATGGACTCGCATATCATTAGGCTACGCAAAACCAAGCACATGGTTGCAACGGTCTTTTCTCTTGTACAAGTAGACCACAATGTTTGAAAACACTTCTAATAAAGTACAAATCTAACCTTTATGTGGCTGCTCTTAGTGGGCTTTGTTGTCCTATCGATACACAATACTGGATTCACAAGAATGAGACGACAATATTTTAATATTATTTTTAAGAAATCTTCAGTGACACAGTATATGACTGGAAAAATTGTTTTATTTGGCTGAGTCACAAAATGCAAAATAATCTCTCTATTGTCTATCAATGCAGATACACTGGTGGTAGAACTGGTGCTAAGGTAGAGTAGGCTACGTTGGCAGCAGGGCTAACCAAAACACAATGGAAAATCAGGCTGAAAATGTGAATGAAGCCACTCACATCGACTCGTCACAATGTGGCCGTATCAAACCTACAACACTCGACCTGCAACCCCTCACCTGCCAACCAATGTAGCCCTGTGCATTAAAATACAGGAGTTTTCGCTGGATCAATGTGAACGTATGGTTACACGCCGTAAATCGAGAGCTCTCGATTTACTGGTCAATCTACGTTCCGACTCTCACCTATGGTCATGAACTTTCGGTCATGACCGAAAGGGCAAGATCCCGGATACAGGCGGCTGAAATGAGCTTTCTCCGCAGGGCGGCCGGGCGCACCCTTATAGATAGGGTGAGGAGCTCGGTCACCCGGGAGGAGCTCAGAGTAGAACCGCTGCTCCTCCACATCGAGAGGAGCCAGCTGAGGTGGCTCGGGCATCT